CCGGCCGCCCGCTGAGGCGGCGGTGGGAGCCCGGGGCGGGGCCCGCCGCCCGTCCCCGCCGAGGGGCCTGTGGCCAGCGGGGCCTGTGGCCAGCGGGGCTGCCGAGGTGAGGAGGAAAGAGCCAAAAGAAGGGCTAGGAAGGGCTTGTGTCTGCCCCGGGGCCCCTTCCCGCCGCGAAGGGGCTCCTTTGGGGTTGCAGGGGGAGACCCTGAGGGGAAGGGAGATCAAGGTAAGAGCAGATACTGGTTTTTTTTCAGGGGAAATGCCTATCTGTTTAAGATAACAGGGTCGTTTTCCCACATTGAGGAATCCAGGTATTCAGAAGGGCCTCGGGACAGAAAAAAGCCAGGTCTTTTCTCCTGGAAATCATTAAAAGATCTACTGGCCAAACACAGAGGGAAGAGCCAGTAGTCTCTGGCTTTTTGAGGTTTGTTTTCCAAGTGCTATTGAAATGCTACAGCAGTGCCCTGAGGACTCACAGGCTTTCACGGAGCTATGCGTCTTTGCCAGAGCAGAGACCTATTTTGGAAAGTTTTCTGTTTCCAAGGAATACAGTTGCTGAGGGAACAATTCACTTTAGGTTCAAAAATCCCTGCCCAAAACTATGTACCCTCTTTTGCACACAGGCACATCAAACTCAATAAATGGTTTGTAACCTCTTAACTGAATTTCTGAAGAAAGTGTACACCACAAATGGTCAAACAGGACATTTGCTCAGACTTTGGGTGAAAAACTCAAGTGTTTGTGCATCTTTGGTGGACTCAAATGATAAATGATTTCCAACAAAATTCTACTGCCTTGTCTTTCCTCCTTCTAGAATACGAATAATCCCCAGGAAAATATTAAGCAAAAATCGGTTACTTGATTTTTATTTCATATTTATGTAGAAGAGGTAGGACTGTTTAGCACAAACATTCTAATACTTGAAAGATAAATCGTCATCAGCTGTGGTTTAAATGTTAGCCTTTCTCTCTCTACTGTTCATCTTTCCTCACACCTTTTCTTACCCTTGCAGTTAGATCTATGGAACCTGTACATTAGGACCGTAGGAAAATGTGTGTTGGAAGAGATCTGAGGAGGCTTGTAATCCAACCTATTGGTCAAAGCTGGATCAGCTCTGGGAGCCTTCATTAGTTATACCCCATCCAGGGGGAACCATGGGAAGTTGGTTCCTACTGCAGCAGCTGTAGGACAAGGCCCAAGGCACATGATGTGATGCTGAGCTAGATGTGCAATAAATACTTGTGGGCTGAGTTTACCTGTGCTCGCTGACTTCTGTGGGAGTTGTGTGTTCAGATGACGTTCAAGGTCCCTGTGAATGGCGTGTGTGAGGAAGGGAGGTGGCTCTGGGCCTGGCCATGCATCTGCACTTTGCAAAAGGGAAAGCCTATCTCCTAATGGAGGAAAAATTTTATAAGAGACATCTGGAACAGTTGTTATCGCTCTAGTCACCTTCCAGTTTGATTCAATGAACTTGAAAAAGTGAAATGTATCATTTTAAGGTCCAAAATGTATTAAAAATTGGTTATATTTACTTGCAGCAGAGGATTTTAAATTTTGTGCTGTTTTTTCAAGGCTGTGTTTGCCACCAAAAAGAGGTTTTGGGGTTTTTTTTGCTTGTTTACTTTTGGCTTGTTTTTGGGTTTTGGTTTGGGGTTTTTTTGTTGTTGTTGTTTGTTTTGTTTTTGTTTTGTTTTGCACTAGGAGAAATATAATGCAAATATAAATCAAAAATTTAAGTCCTATGAGGAACAGCTTGAGATGAGGGGTGTTTAGCTTGGAGAACAGGAGGCTCAGGGGAGACCTTACTGTTCTGTACAACTGCCTGAAAGGAGGTTATAGTGAGGTGGGGCCTCTTCTCCCAGGCAGCCAATAACTGGAGAAGAAAACATAGCCTCAAGCTGCACCAGGGGATATTGAGGTTGGGCATCAGGAAGAATTTATTCATTGAAAGGGTGGCCAGACACTGGAAGAGGCTGCCCAGAGAAGTGGTGGAGTCACCACCCCTAGAAGTGTTCAAGAAACGATGGACATGGCACTTAGTGATATGGTTCAGCTGGCATGGTGATGGTCAAAGGTTGAACTCAATGATTGTGAAGGTCTTTTCCATGAAAAGCTAGTGGAAGCGAGGCCCTATGGGTCTCACTGTTGCCTAAAGGCAGACAAGCCTAAAGGAGGTAAGCCATGGACAGAGTGTGGAGCTCTCTGTGCTGCCTTGTATCATTACTGCACTGCCTTCAGGAGTGTCACAGTTGGGGACCAACACCTGGTGTTTCTCCAAGGCAGAAGCACACAGTTTTGACAGAAAAAAAAGGTCGTAAATGATAATCTGTGTTTCCAAAATTAGATAATATCAAACTATCTATTCCCTAGATAGAGAGGATCACTGGGTGAATGAGTGGCAGGGAGAAGCAGACTAGGTTCTCCTTTACTGGGTAATTTTTTTCATCTCTCATCTGTTGAATGATATTTCTCTGACCCAGTAGCACCCTCTTTGATTACAAATGATGATTCAAGGGACACTAGAAAAAAAAAAAGGGGGACATATGTCAGTGCTGGGAATTTAAGGACTGGAACTCCTAGTCTTAATCACGGTGTTTTATCTTTATTTATGAGATTATTTACTAATTTATTTACTATATTTACTAATATATTTAGTAATTGACTTAGTAAACAGAATTAAATTGTGTTTATTCCTGTACAGATGAGGAATCTTTTATTTAGCTGGCATATAAAAATATAGTGTATTATTTAGGTAGCATATAAAACTTAATGTTTGATAAAACTGTGAAATAAATGCATGTCAATTGATTACTTTGAATTATGACAGCCCCTTCTCCTGCAGTGCACTATAATATATTTATAAATGTTTTGTTTATTGACATGATTGACATGACATTTTGTTTATTGACACGATTTTAAGGTAAAAAGTGAGAAGAATGGGATGGATAAACATAAATCCCATCCATTACTGACAAATAAGCAAAAAGGAAAATTATAGTTGTAGAGTTCAGAAATTTTGTGTCACTAGATACCTCACAAGATAATGCAATTTTTTTTTTTTTTTAAGAGAGTTGTCATAACATCCTATTGACCAAAAGTAGCTTTAGATATAAAGCCCAAATTTAGGATAAGGCCAGCCTCTTTGATAGTGCATGTCATTCATTTAGAAGGTCATAATCACAGTCACTGACTGACCTGTAGAGCATTTAGATAACACTTTTTGAAATATTGGTATAGGTCAAGTTTTTCTTCTGAGCACTAATAAACCAGAGTCTGAAACTACTAAAACTGTTGACTGAAATTTTAACCTGATTTTTATGTACTTCATTAGACTTGAGAATTGAACAAGAACAAGTCCAACTGCTCCTTCTCAATATTATTCAGAAGGGATAAAAGAGGAGAAAAAAACAAACCCCAGGAAGTTTCTTTTCCATTTTTCCATGGCAGACGGCGGCTCAAACACTGTGGTGCAGACTGGAAGCAGGAGGTTTTTCTTCTTGAAAATTTCTGGTTCCTTTCCAAACCTTCACATCCCTAATTAGATTCTTTTTGCCTTCTGACTATTTAGCAGTTCAGAGGTGGGAAAAGAAAATTATATCCAGTCCTTCAGTGTGAAACTATCATTCCAGTGTGTCTAAAGTTCTTTCTGTCCTGTGGCACATTCATTAGGGGCAACAAACATATGGTACTGATAATATATACTAAGCCTTGGACCAAGCCCATCTTTATTGTGTTCTGCTCAGGAAGCTGTTCTCCTTCAGCTTTCATTTTCAGTTTAATTTACTGGTCAGCATTTCTACAAGGATTGTGTTGGCCCTGATTTACACACTCTGGGCAAATCCCAGGACCTCATCACCAAAGTCTCATTTCCTTTTCAATATAATTACTTTAATGACAATGTGTAGTATGATAAAGGCTGCCCATGTAATATCCCTGTTTATTAATGATTGCAGCATGTCAAGCATTTGTACTGGCTTGAAAAGCAGTATGGATTTTTTCACCTGCAAGGGCCTTACAGGTGTCTGAGAGAACGATTATGATTGCACTTCTCTTAAATAATGGGCAGATACCTGTCTCCCTCATCTTTTTGACCTCAGGTAGTCCTCATCAATGAGACCTTCCCTTTTTTATTTTCAGTTTACAGATATGCATAAAAAGTCCCAAGAGAAACATACTGGCTACTTTCCTGCTAAGGTAGCTTGGTGATCTTAGTGATGCCCCCTGCTTGTGGAGATAGAAGAAGGAACAGGAGAGAACAAAAAAACCAAACCAACAACAAAAACCCCAAAATCCCCTCAATCCCAAATGATAGGGGAACCAATGAAAGGGGATGAAAATGGTTCTTAGCACTGCCAGTACATTACCAGCCTGACTCACACCAATCCATATAATTTGCACTTTTTAATGTCAAAATGGGCATGGGCAGCTGTTTTAGTGTAGCCATGCTCTTCCAGGATGGCCTTGGAAAGTGTACCTCTCCTGCCTGCTAGTTAGGATAGACTAACCCATTGTCAGGCACCCATCAAAGCCTCTCCATTTCATAAGCTGACAGCTCCGGATATCCAGCATCAGCCTGATTTGAAAGGCAGAGCTTTCTTCATCCTTAGGCAGCCCAGTAATTTCTCCACCGCTATTGCTAATTTGGAAGCTGACAGTTTCCCTCTCCCCACCCCTTTGGTTTATTACAAGCATTTCATCAGACTGGCTGTAGACTGCCATGTCCTTCTCTGCCCTGGGCAGAGGGGGACAAGCAAGGCTGTCAGCAGCGATGCTCAGTTGCTGTGGTGATGTTTCTCCTGGAGCAGGCGGCTGCAGCAAGTCCCCCACCCCGGTGGCACCTAGCCCAGGCTCTGGATGGACCCGTGGAGGCTTCCAGCTGATTTAATTGGTTCATTGTTCCCTGGTTTGATGTAATAAATTCATTGTTCCCCAATTCAACTTAATTGAGTCATTGTTACCCGATTTAACTGACTGATTGCTGCCTGACTTGATTTAATTAATTACTGCCTGACTTGCTGAATAAGCAAGCTCCTGCTGCCAGCTGCCAGCACGGCTCATGGCTTCTAATCCGTGCTGTCTACCTCAGTCGCTTGTCCTATAGCAACCTGCACTTCTCCTGGGACCTGTTCTCTATTCTATTCTAGCCACACCCTCTGTTACCTTCCTGCTCCCCTTTTCCATTCCTGTAGTTTGTCCCCTTCCCGAAGAGTTCCTCTCACTCACCCT